GATGCAACACAATTATCGTGTTGAAAATTTTGCAATTAAGACACAGGAACACATCTGAACACATGTATGATGTCCACGGAATTGACATGTCTGAAAAAACGGGTTGAACTTCAACTACGTTTGGCAGCCCGCTTCTGAGGAGAAGCCTGCAGAAGATGTTCAGACAGCGCCTCAAGCTGAAGTAGCGCCGGTGTCTTGGTTCGGGAACGGGCCGACCCATGCCGACTTGGGTTGTGATGATTCATTTTGTAGAGTCAGAGGTGGGGACATCCCGTTGGTAGAATTTTTCCCCTTGTTTCTCTTGGGATTTGTAGTTGGGAAAAGTCCGGCATCTAGCAGTGGTTGACATTTTCGAGATTTTTTTTGAGTTCCTTATCATCTTTCATGAAATGCAAAGGAATGCAAATGATGCAACACAATGATCATGTTGAAATATTTTGAAATTAAGACACAGGAACACATATGAACACATGTATGATGTTCACGGAATTGACATGTCTGAAAAAACGGGTTGAACTTCAACTACGTTTTGCAGCCCGCTTCTGAGGAGAAGCCTGCAGAAGATGTTCAGACAGCCCCTCAAGCTCGAGTAGCGCCGGTGTTTTGGTTCGTGGAACAGGCCGTGTGCAGGGGTAAATTTGGAACAGAAAGAGTACCTAAGAATATAATAGAATAGAATACAATAGAATACAATAGAATAATATAGAATACATAAGCATACGATATATAAAAAATATATAAAAGAATTACAAAGCATCGTTCGGACAAGAGCATTCAAGAGAAGCTTCTGACTTCTTTCCAGAAATATCCAGAAACGATCTCGAGAAATCATCAAAAAGGGCAAAAATATCAGGAGCCCCAAAGTGATCAATCTCTTACTACTTCGTTGCCAATCTGATGCATTTTTGGTGGCCGACAAGGGTACCCCCCACAACAGGGCCTTCCACCCCTGGACGTCATGCTTTTCCATGCTTTTCTGGGATGTTGGTTCAATACAGGACCGGGGTTGAGCACATCATTTTGTAGAGTCATCGGAAAGGGACTGCTTTTTGTAGAGATAGTTCTCTCATGTTCTCGAGGACCATTTGTCACTGAACCATACTGAACCAATAAAAGAAAACATTAGCAGCCCGAAATTGGTCAATCTCTTAGTCCTTTGTTTACAATCTGATGCATTTTGGGTTGATTACAAGAATTTCTATCCCCCTACAAGTTTCCAAAAATATTTAGAATAGGTGTCTTCCATCCCTAGACATCACTTGTTGGCATCCGATATATTTTGATCAACTATCTTTGGCAGCCCGCTTCTGAGGAGCAGCCTGCAGAAGATGTTCAGACAGCGCCTCAAGCTGAAGTAGTGCCGGTGTCTTGGTTTGTGGAACGGGCCGTGTGCAGGGGTAAATTTGGAACAGAAAGAGTACCCAAGAATACAATAGAATATACAATAGAATACATAAGCATACGATATATAAAAGAATTACAAAGCATCGTTCGGACAAGAGCATTCAAGAGAAGCTTCTGACTTCTTGCCAGAAAAATCCAGAAACGATCTCGAGAAATCATCAAAAAGGGCAAAAATATCAGGAGCCCCAAAGTGATCAATCTCTTACTACTTCGTTGCTAATCTGATGCATTTTTGGTGGCCGAATGTGGCCGACAAGGGTACCCCCCACAACAGGGCCTTCCATCCCTGGACGTCATGCTTTTCCATGCTTTTCTGGGATGTTGGTTCAATACAGGACCGGGGTTGAGCACATCATTTTGTAGAGTTATTGGAAAGGGACACCTTTTTGTAGGGAGAGTCTTCTTTGTTTTTGTTGGGGATCTTCTAGATCTGTCAGGAAAGACATTTGGATGCTGACAATGACCCTATGCCGCACGATGAACTGCGACGGGAGGCATGTTGGTTTTGGAAGCTTTTGGTCATTTGGTAGTAGCATGTGTAGATAGAAATGGATAGGGGACTCTGGACTACGAGTAATGTCATTTTGTATCATTTTGTAGAGTCTTTCTTTTGCTTCCGGGAGGCAGAAGCAGACCGGCAGAGATTCTTGGAGCCCAATGACACCTTTGCGTGGAACGAATTCATGAACCAAAACGCTGCGTTCATGTTTTTGAACAGCCCAACTGACAAAGATGAAATTGAAAATAGAAACACCTTGGATTATGAACCAGAGTCTCCATACAGGGAAGTCCCGCAAGAAGCAAGCAATGCTAACAAAACAGATGAACCAGAGCCGCCACTGATTGCGCCAACACCATCGAGAAGACGCACCCCTGGAACACCAACAGCAAAGCGCACCCCAAAAAAGAAAGCCTCACCGAAAGGTGCACCAGGTCACAGCCAAGTCAAAAAAAAAGAAGGCAAAGGAAATGGCAAAGGAAAGAAGAAAACAAAAGCAATGCAGGATTCCAACGCTGACGAGGAGCCAGCCTTCTCTTCGCACATTGTGTCCAATTCTTGAAACCTTCATTGACTATCATGAACTTACATTGGTTGTCCAGTTAGAAGCTCCAACCTGATATTTAGTTTCCATTCACTGGCTAGGAGGATATAGAAAAGGCAGAACATGCGAAGATTGAAGATCCAGGCCAGACCTTCGGTGACAATCTCTACAAATTGCTGTTCAACAGTTCTATTACTACAAAGTGAGTTTGTGGAAAGGAAATAGGATGGTTTGGTGTGTTGTCAACTTGCCGATAATTTTTCATGAAGAGACATGACGAGCAGAGGTGCTGCAATGCCCAGTGGAGATCCAGCAGTGGAAAAATTCATGGCTGCTCATTTGCAATAGTGGGGAGAGGTGAAAGGATCAAACACATTCAAATTTGCTTTTGGCTTCTCATGAAAAAAATGATTTCTGTTCGAACTCAGCTATGGTTTTACCCAAAGGAGAAACCATGAGGGTTCACTACAAAAAGGCTGTACCATGGCATAAACAGATACACTGAACAGGTGGCCTATGCTGAGACTGTAACCAAGCCGGGCTTCTACCTTGGTGTCTTAGATATTGCACTCCTAGCCCGACGGCGAGAGAAAGATATCCTGATTCTGTACTACGATGATGAGTTTAAAGACGTTCCGACAGTGAAGAATTTGTCTCAAATCTTGGGGGCTATTTTTCCAGATGCCGAAGTGCAAGGGCAGAAGGAATCTCCAAAGCCTGAGCACGCTACCGCATGGTGTTTGGCATCACTCATGGCCAACTATGAGAGGGGGTCGTTTCGACAGTTGAACCACTTTGTTCCATTGTTTGTCAAGGCTTCAATGGGAGAGGCCATGTGGGAAACTGTGGCTGAGAAGAGCCTGGTGAAGATGGTCAAAAGAGTCCGGACGATGGAAGAGACGAAGCCAGACACAGATGATGATTCCGAAGATGAGCTTGCAGAAAGTCACCGAGAATATCTCATGTCCTGTAGACGACAGTTGGAGTTCGTGCAGCTGATGATGCGTTTGGACTTTCACGTTGGGATAGTGCCTTCTGATGGCAATTGTGCGCTTTGGTCATTGTTGGCACTTGAGGGTGGCCCTTGTGCAAAAGCTCAGATGTCATCAAAGGCTGATGTTCAGAAACTGCGTGAAGATCCTTATCTTACTTGGCCAATGGTCTTACTACAAAATGCATGGTTTTACTACGTTTTAATACATTGGCATACATTGGCTACAAAATGCATGTCCATATAGACTGCACTACAAAATGCATGGTCTGGTCCATAGCCAGCCACGACCCAAGGAATTGAAGCAGCTGTGGATCGATGTCTCCAAAGTTCCTGTCTGGCAGAATGTCTTCTCTGCCATGGGATTGCAAGATGAAATTCCTCCCAATATGGTTCCCAACATAGAACACGATTCTGCCCCAGCAACACCTAGCCAACCTCCAAAGGGCCCTCCTCCTTTGAGTCAGCCATCTCCGCCCAAGAATTCGGAAGCTCCGAAACGGGTTCATCAGACAAGGGCAGCTCCAATTGGAAAGCCCAAGCAAGAAGAATCCAATCTCAAGGCACCAGGTTCCAACCCCGAAGGTGAGCCAAAGAAAAGGAAAGCTCGGAATGCCACTCAGGATGATGACAAAGATTGTGCTTTAGAATTGGATGAAGATGCTGAGGACCCAATACTGTGGATTCTTCTTGATTTAAATCAATCTAATCCAAATCAATGAACATCAAAGAACCCCAGATCAGATTGGCAAACATGTTCACTACCCTTTGTATTGGCTTGACCCCAGTTTTCCGATAGAGGTCACAACATCCTGTTTGGAAACAGGACTGCAGAGGTGTGAGACGCAAACATCATGCTCGAGCGTGCAAACGGAAGGAGATTTCAGAGTCAGAGGTGGTGAAGGCTGGAGTGAGAGCCTATCTCGCAGACCTCGGGTTGACCTGGCCTGCTTTTGCGAAATTCCACAACAGGCTGGACTATGCATTTTGTAGATATTCCAGTGGTGAAGAGCCATTTTGTAAAAGAGATTGTCTGAAACTTTTGAGGGGGTAGTTGCCCTTCATTTTGTTTCGTATCTTTGGAGGCATTGTATTCAGAAACCCTACGCAAATTTTAGAGCCCTAAAAAATGCAGAATCTTCTGCAGGAACAAAGCCCACAAGAAGGTCCAGATTTGCCACCCCAAGCCCTATGCCAACTTGCAGAATCTCTTGGCAGAGGAGAAGGAAATCACTTGCGGGATTTGTGCCAGCATGTTGGCGAAGTACAAGTTCGAATCTGACAACCTGCGCAAGGCGATTGAGGAGTGCAAGAGTGGGGACAGGCCTGTGCGGCTCTCTGGGTCAGGACATGTGGCTCTTCCTAAGGAGGAAGCAGACCCTGAAGACGTGACATTGGATGAGCTGGGGTCTTCTGATCCTGCAAAGAAAAGAAGGTTGGATCCAGATGCTGAGCGCATCGCAATCGAGAAGTACATCAGCACTGTTGACTGCATCTCCCTGTTGCCGCTGGGAACCCATGGCAAAAGAGTCCCTTACAGATGTAGCCTGTGTACATCCCCAATGTGGCCGAATGGAAAGGTGGGAGAGGCCGACAGATTCAGGCTTGACAGTGTCAAACATTTTGTGACCCGGCATTTGTCCAGCAACCAACATGTCCAAGCTTTGAAGAAAGAGGAAGTGATGGCAGAAAAGAAAGCGACGGTAACCTGCAATGGACTTTCCATCGCAGACCCGATGAGCGGCAATTTCTTGTACGCCTACAGGGATGAGGTGGCAATCTGGGGATCCATGTGCAATTTCGAAGAGCATGCCAAGCATGTCTATACCAGGAATGCATCTCAGGGAACATGGACAATCCAGGCACACAACTGTGAGAAAGAAGTTGAGCAGGAAGATGAGCTTGAGACGCCCGCTTGTCCCACTTGCAAGAAGCTCGGTGAAAGGACTGGAGTGATCAGAAATGTTCTCCGTTTCATGATCAAGTACTGGGCAGCTTCTAACCTCAATTGCAGGCTCTTCCATGGCCAAGCGGCATTGGACGAGCTCATGGCAAAGATCAAGAGCACGAACATGTACAAGGGGTACGAGAAAAAAATTGAGGCTACCTTGAAGTTGTCCACTCACCACATGCAGCAGTTTGTGAGAGCCAGCTTCTTGTGTGATCCACACATGACCAACACCCTGAAGGATTTTGTGGCCACTGTGGTGAAGCCGTGCCTTCAAATCAACATTAGCTCAGTGCCTGACCACCTGGCAGAGATCAGCAGCAAATTGAGCTCCATTTTAGCAGGAGGCGAAGCCAGTGACGAGGACCTGGTGCAGATCAAACTGGCAGCTGGATGCATTTCTGGCAAGCTTTCCGGGCATCCTCTCATTCAAGGACTCACTTTACAGCTTCAGAGGAAGTTGGAGAAGGAGGGGAGAGGAATTCATTGCATGAACGGAAGACGTTCTGCAGAGAGTGACCTGGAGCGATCTCTCATCAGAGATGCAGGGCTACAGTTGGCTGTAGCTGCAGGCAACAACGCTTTGGCACGGCGTTTCGGACTTGCCAAGGACAGTCACAGGATCAGCTTCGATGTGCTAACAGAGAACTCCCTGCCGATTCCTGCCTTGGCCATATGTTGGCCAGAAGTGCTCCAGCAGAACTTCCTCCTGATAGATCAGCGCTATGTTCGAGCACAGCTGGCTCCCAAACGTGTCTTGGTTTTTACTTTTTACTTTGGTTCCTCTACAAAATAGTTGGTACAAAAAAAAAGTCTACAACTTGCGTAGCTGCTTCTGTTTCTCTCAGGTAGTTGCGTGTCATTGCAGCAAGAAATTTAAAGGAATCAACACGGTGAAAGCATATGGAAGCTACATGAACCTACAAAAAGATGTAGCCGTGTGTAATCTCTACAAAATGCCTTGCTGTGACACATGCAGACATCCTCGATTGAGGTCGACTCTTCTTGGCATTCGATTGCACGTACCTGACGGCCTCTCTTGCGCAGCTCCAGCTGCATTCGCAAAGAGGCATGGTGGGGGGCGTTTGGTGCCCAGAGAACCCTGAGCAGTGTTTCTTGGAGTTGACAGAGGAGTTCGATGCATCGTCGGTCAAGAAGGGCACGACCATGTGCGAATTTTTACTTTGGGATCCGAGTGCCAGAAAAAAGGTACCAATGTCTGTGGCATCTTTGCCTGTGGAACACAACTTTTCTGGTGCGTTGGGCAGCTTGAAAGGCAATCTCTACATGGCGCGACTTGTTGGTCAAGTTCTGAATGAATGCGACGATCTCATCAAGGGGGTGATTTGCGATAGTCATGGGACGCACCAATTCACCAAGAAACTTCTTCATGGACAGCATGAGTCGCTTCCGATGAGTGATATTCAGACTCTCCCGTTTTGGAACGAGATCAGCTTCAAAGACTTGCCCAAGCACCCTCTCCCAAGGTTGCCAATCAAGATATGCATGCACAAGGGCTCTGCCATTTGGGGAATTCCTGGTGTGTGTGCCTGAGAGAATGTTTGATAATATTTATTCTTAAAGTTTTGCATTTTGTAGAGAACAGGGTTGTGATGTATCATACTGTAGTATTGAGACCTTTGAATACCTTTGATATGTTTCTGCTCTCACAACCTTATGCATTTTTACTAAGCATGTTTTGGGCAACTAATGCAGCCTTGCCATTGCGCAACCCTTGCTGGATCCCAGGCCATGCCTCGAAGAACTCGGGAGGACAACTTTCAAGCTATCTTAGAACATTGTGGTACGGCAGCTACTTCGTGGATATGGTGCAGGCAAGAGAGATGGGCCTGCCTCCAGCGGCGCTGGGAAGGGAGCAGCCGATGTCAGACCGGCATCAGGCTTTGCTGATGAACCCCTTCTTTTTGGTCCGTGAAGCGGATTCTAGCCAGCAGTTTGTTTTTAATATCTTTTAATTGGATTCAGGTCTTGGATGATTTGAAACATGATATCCATCGATGAATCAAAACAAGTTATTTTTTTGACTTCATGTGATATTAACACTCTACTATGACACTTCTAAATAGAACTTGTTCATATTACTTGAAGTCGCATTTTCTTTGACTTCAGATTTGAGGACGGGCCAATGAATGCGCGGAGGGTTCCTTGGGCATTGCGAGGTGCCTTATGCCACAACTTAGTTGATTCTTGGGAAATAGTTTCAGTACATTTTGGGGGTGCCAAGATATTCTCTACAAAATGCATCTGCATGTTAAAATTTGGAACATATTGTTCAAGCTATGGTGTGATATGATCATATTATGGTCATATGTTCCTTGCAAAATGTAGAGATATCCTCTTTGCTCGGTCATTTTGTAGTTGTTTGGGTTTGGCACAGTCTGCAGGTGGCTTTGAACATTGCCCCACTTTTGACGAAGTCCCTCAATCTGGAGCAACGTGTGGAAACTGCAGTGAGCGGTTTTGTTTCCATTGATCTTTTCGCTGCCCTGGCAACCCTGAAGTGCACGAAATCGGGGTTGCCTACGGGCAGCTGCTTTATGGCAGGGCAGACGGCCTTCAACCTTCAGTCGGTTTGCCTGGCTGCCATTGTGATCGGAGTCACAAAGTCTCCGGAGATGAATCCATGGAAATACGGAAGTTGCAGAGTTGCAGAGCTCGCAATCGAGCAATTCTTTGGAACCCTTCGCAACCAAAGCTCTACAGCTCAATTGAGCTGTAGAGCATACTGGCAGGCTGGCTCCAGAGACGCATTGAAGGTGGTTCGGGAACTTGAGAAACAGAAGCCTGCAGGACTTGGGGAGCCTCCACTCACAGATGAGCAGCAGCTCGTTGTTGATATTTTTTTTTGGAAATCATGTTGTAGTGATTGAGAGTTGTGTTGGCCATTTGGTAGATATTTTATTTTTAGGCTTTGATTAGCTTCAGAGGTTTGAAAACTGTTGCGGACGCGGGTATCGAGCAGCCCTTGCGTTTGCCTCCAAGATCAGTGGTCAGTCTGCTGAGCAGCTCGAATCGAGCTACCGTGAAGCATGTCTCAAGGGACAAGTTGGTTCTGGTGAAGAGGGCCCAGCAGAGGATGAAATGGAGTATGAGGAGGAGGAGCCTGAGGAAGAGTCCAACGAGTGCATGAAACTTCTCAAGACCCTGCAAGCTGATATCAAGATCTTGGGCGACATGGAGCAGGCATCGGAGAAAAGTCAGACAGAAGAGGATGAGCATCAGCAGGTGGATGATCATGAGATGAAGGGTTTGTTTGACAAGGAGGAATTGAAGGCTGTGCTTTCTCCGGAGTCTGCACCATCTGAGGGCATTGATTCTCAAGGGCTTCCCTCGACACTTTCAGAGGCATTGGCCCGGCCTGGTGACTTCTTCAACAACCTATGGCGACTGGCCGTGAAACTGCGCAGTGCTCCAGGAGGATGTGATTGTCAGTGGATTCCAAATGCCGAGAATTCTCGACGGGCCGCAAAAAGCCTCAACTGGCACCAGTGTCTGGCCTGTATTATTTCCATTTTATCATATTGTATCCCTTTTTGGCCCAGAAAAGCATTTTGTAGTAAAAAGGTTGTGCTCACTAAATTGTAAACTAAAATGGGCTGGCAAGATCCACATCATTCAACTTCCCACAATGTGAATTTACATGAATTCACAATAATAATTATCAATAATTTACAAGTAAATATCTACATCATTTATATAACTAAATTTATTTATTCCAAAAAATCCCCAAAGATATCGAATAATCAATGAGTTGATAACATGGCCTCTTCAGTGGATGAATGTGTTGGGAAATTTCAATGTATGTTGGGTGTTTTATCAATCATTGTTTCCATTTCAGGTACAACGAACGCCTGCTGGCTCGCTTGGAATCAGAACGAGAGACACCCCAGTACAAAAGCAGAACGACAAGGCTGGCTAAGTGGCGCGAGCTGGTGGTCCTGGCAAATGCTGAACTGGAGCTTCCTCCAGCTGTTCCTGAGAGGATTGAGCAGCTTGGCTTTTGTTTCTGGAGAATGGATGCAAATAGTTGTTCGGTATGTAAGCCTGGCAATACTCTACAAAATGCTCGCAGCATATTTCAGCATGTGCCATCATTTTTTCTACATTTTCCTTGTGCTACTCTTTGCAATCAAAGTGTAGTGTAATTAGACTTGACCAGTCAAATTGTAGAGATTTTGGGGGGCCTGCCCAGGACAGGCCAAGTGGTCGTCTTCATGCTGCCGGCAACCTGTTCCGTTGAGCCGCAGCTTGAGATTGGCCTGGTGATGTCAGTATGGAAAGGAGTTCGGCAGCCCAGAATCATCTCTGGATCCTGCCACATAAACTCCTGCATGGCATTCAGAGCGATCTCCTTGGATTTAGTCTCAGAGGACAGTGCCAGCCAGTGCTGGCCACATGTGATTGAACCATTGGGTTGCACATACTCCTGAGAGATGACAAGATTTCAAACTTAGATTTGCATAGATTTGCTTCCATATGCATACATATGCATAACCCATGAGAATAGTATTTGTATATACGTAATCAGTGATAGTCACATGTGTTTTTAATATTATGTTATACATACACACATCCAAGAAGTTTTAACCCTCCCAAATTGAAAGACCTGCTGCACAAGCGTTGCTTCAGGATGACAGCAGTGTGGATTGGCAGTGCTCAAGCCTGTCGAACGCATGGGTGGTACGTGTCGAATCCTTGGTTTGCATATTGGACACAGAAGAGTGCACCTCAGATGCACTGGGATTGATTGGGATGGTTTCACACCATTTGGTAAGCATGATCTTGTGGAAATACATGTTGTAGAGAAAAGAGGTGAGGTAGAAAGGCCTTAGAAAGAATGAGAATGTATGATGAAATCAGGATACATGACACCCAAAAGGTAGAGAAGAAAATGGAACATGCATTTTGTAGAGTGCTTTAGAGTTTTATTTTTATTTATTTTTCACACAGATGGTTTGTCATGCATGTATTTTGAAGTCTCTAATTTCCAGCATGCATTTTGTAGAGCTCCATTTTTGGCCTAGTACAGCATGTTGTAGACTGGTTTCTTGGTTGGCCATAATTAGCCTAGGTACGGAGCCAGAGAGCGGAGATGGCTTCTTCAAGGTGAAACTTTCTGAGGAGTCAGGCAACGTGCTTGCCAAGCTTGAAGGGATCAAGCGCTGGCGTGTTCAGCCAACAATGGTTCGAGGTGCGAAAAAGGCAGGCACTGGGAGCATGAAGTTTGCTTTCAAACGCTTTGGGGCCAGGCGTAGGAGAAAAGATGTGGGAAAAAAAGATGGAAAGAAAAAAGTGTCCAAACACAATGTCAAAAAACATGAAAAACAGGAGGACGCAGAGAAAGGGAAATCCAAGTCCAAGGGGCATATTCCAGAGATCAAAGCGCCTGATGAGTTAGGACCGCAAGACATCAGACGTACTCCGGAAGGACGGAAAGCCATTTGCTCCATCATGGAGCACATTTACGAAATCGACCTGCAGGAGTTCTCTTCGGCACCAGTCTTTGACAGTGAGGGGAAATGTAGGATGAAATTTCCGAATGCAGATAGCTTCAGCTGGCCGGAGTTGTTAAATGCGTCTGGCCATGCGGTGGAAGCCATGCGTCTTGGCATTTTGTAGAGGATGAGATGGTGCAATTCAATCTAATAGAGATGGATATCGGTCTACCTTGTGTTAGTATGTGTTACGTAATATATGGATGTACATGGATATATATGGCTATATATATATATGGTTCTCTTTCAAAAACATGCGAAATAAGAACTGCGTTTTGTAGATAGCAGAGGTGGGTGCACTCATTTTGTAGAGGTTTTGAACTTAGATTATCCTCGAAGATGGGATGATAGAAGCATTCTTATTCGGCAAGATACGTTGTGATAACAGTTTAACACATTTAAAACACATGGGAACACGCAGTAGCATTTTGTAGGACAATTGGAGGGGCATTCATATTGTAGAGATCAGTAAGCTCTGTTATTTGTGCTTCTTTTGAGTGCAAGGTACGCTCAAACTCAACGAGCAGACGCCTACGGCAAGACTGTCTACAGGCACTTGAGCACCATCATCCAGAGCATGACAGGCAAAGGCGAGAGAAGGAGACAAGGTTGGCTGAGAATCCTGAAAGACATTGCAGATTTTGTTGCTGCCACCAGAAAGAAAAAAGGTGGTTCGCAAGAACCTAATTCAGAGAAACCGAAGTGATCTTGGATCCAAAGGATCTTTTCAAGATACTCAGGGGATCTCACGGGTCATTTGTTCCCAGAAAACCTTCCATAACAATATATAACAATCCACAACATAATTCATTTCAATTAATTTGATAAAACTTGAGGTATTTGTTCTGTCTTTGATGCAGGCACGGGACAAATGTTTCAGGATCAACTAGATCCAGTCCAATCTTTATCAAAGAGATTGAACCACTTTGATGTGATTCAATGCTGTTGAATGCTGTTGAAAGCAAACAATACAAAACAGAACAAACCGCAGACATGCGCAGACAAGATCTCAAAAGCAGCAGGTGTTCTGAGAGTGTGGGTATCCCTGGGGAGGGCTGGATGTTAGAAAGTTCACTTTCTCTACAAAATGCTTGGTGATTTTTTTGAACTTCCACATTTTTGGCAAAAAATGCCCCTCTACAAAATGCATGTCATTCACAACTTAAAAAAATGATGCTATTTTTTGAGGTCTCTAATTTCCATCATGCATTTTGTAGAGCTCCATTTTTGGCCTAGCACAGCATGTTGTAGACTCCTTGCAGCAGGCTGGCACTGCATTTTGTAGTGAAATGGTTGTGTTTTGTATTTTGTATCTACTCTATGGGGGGGGGCAACCGACCCCCCCAAATGTAAACCCCCATAGATTTCCCATGAAATATAGGGTTTTCCTTTTTTCCCCTAAGCCAATCCATTGAAGAGTTGATTTGTGTGATTTATGTTTGCTAAGTTGTTTTTTACTTCAAGGATCATCCAGCATAGTAACTTGTTAATCTTACACTGATTAACAAGTCCCTGATTCCTGGGTTACACCATCTATAGACCATTTAATTTATAACGCCACTTACTAAACGGTGACAATTCGTGGGGTGATCCGCCAAATTGTGAATTACAGTGGGTACATCGCTTAACGGTATTTAATGATGTTTCATGGGCATTGTGATATGGAGGTTTCCATAAATGTTTGATCCCCAAAATGGATGATTTATAGTGGAAAATCCTACTAAAATGGATGATTTAGGGCTATCCCTGTTTTAGGAACCCCCCATATGGGAACCCCTAGCAACCCATTCAAAGATGTAGCATTTTTAAGATCATTCACTGTGCAAGATGACCTCAACAGCCTATAATCAATCCGATCCAGGATTTGCTCCAGAGATGATATGGAATGATAACCATTTTTTTGGGGGGTGGTAATTGGTGATTAGGCCTTTTTATGTACCCAATTTACCTTCATCTATCTTCCCAAAATATTTGGGCTGTTGGGAGCCCTGTTTGATAGTTCAAAATTTACAGTTTGACGCTTGTTGCCCATAGGATACGTGGGTTTAACTCAGGGTAACGAGAGAATTAATCGGGTGGGGACACTTGCAGCAAACCATTAGTTGTCATAGTTTTCGAACCCCCAAAAAAAAATCCAGTGTTTCCTTAACAGAAGACTTACATACCCGCTGGTAATTTAACATAGCTATTGAACCCATGGGGCATAGAAATAGTTGATTTACCTATCAAAGATGGTGATTTTCCAGTTCGCAAACTGTAAACATTTACCAGAGGGTAAGCCATAGATACCCTTCGGTAAACGTTTACATAACTATGGAAAGATCCACCATTTTATAGCTGGGTAAATCCACTATTTCTATGGCCATTTTCAATAGTTTTTTGTAAACGTTTACCAGAGGGTAGCCATGGCGCCATGCCGGGTTTCCCAAGATTTCCCAAGCTCCAAACCATGGCGCCAGGCTCAGAGCCTACGCTTTGAAACCATTGATTCTGCTGCTCAGCGGCTGTGTCCGGAGACCTGGCCCCGCACACAGGTCGGTGGCACCATGAACTGGGTGATATTTGCATGACATATGATGAAATATCCGTGATGATATCAGAAATACATTATAGTAATTATATGTATATCCTCCTATGGTGTACCTCAAGAGAATGAGGGGGCAGGACCCCCTTAAAAAAAAGAAAAAATCAAGCAAATCTGAAAATAAAATGGAGTCAGGCCCCAGCATTTTATTTTGTGGGTGCATTTTATTTTTTGAGGGGCCCAACCCATCAAGTTAAGTGACAGGGATAGCATGATAGCAAAGATGCACAGCTGTGAACGGTCTGATCATTCTGTGAAACCTTCCAGAGATTTGGAATCACTTGGACATTATGGAGCGTATGAAACTGAAACAGCAGTTGTTGTCGATGAAATTCGATTCTAGCAGGAGTGTGTGCTGTGAAAAAGGAATATGAAACACAATGACACATAACGATTAAATGATCGTGAGTAAGAACGATAATCCTATATAATCTTAATGTATAACAAAAATGCTAGAGATGAATTAAGTTCTGAAACTGTAATGATTATATATGCATATCATACTGTACAAATGTCTATCAACGATCTAAGAAACTATAAAAATCAATATAACAAAAAAAAATAGTGGCGCCTGACGTCCAACAGTTGCCAGGTGGGGGGGCCCGACGCCATATTCTCTTTGTGTTTGTCGATTGTATTTTGCTTGGATTATCCTATGTTACCTTATGCCTTCTCATTTTACTGGCATTTTGTTCTTAGGCCCCTGCATTTTTTTTTTTGGGGGGGGGGTTCCACCCCCTCGGCACCACACGGGGATTATTTATGGTATATATATATTTATTTAACATCATTTCACTATATATATTCATTTTTCTACTGGGTGGATGAGATAGATAGTCTCATGGACGTCTATATGTGTTGGGTAAATTTTCATTCATGCCAAACTCAGCTTCCCGTCACGTCTCAGGGCCCAAACATGTACCACTAAGATCAACGGAATTTGGGTCGTGTTTTTCTGAGCGATTCAGAACCAATAAGGGGCACCCACATGGTTGACCGATAGCCATTATATATTTAGTTCAAATTAATTTACTTATGACATCACAGTTTTTCTTCGGGGTGAGTCCCCATGAGATGAAAAGACCCATAGATCCTGAATCATTACGTCCCCGTGTGTACCGGTAAATCATACTAAATCCCATCAACAAATGGTGCCTGCAGTTCAATCGACCGCACCGCAGGACGTTTGTCTCTTCTTGGATGCGGACAACGTGGCCCTGAAGCCTCCACTGGAGTCAACCAGAGTTTGTTCCATGTATGATACCCATGTATGTTGAGGTACATTTGTACAGCACAAGTACATATTATAATCTTGGTATGTTTCATGATTATGATTTATGATATTTGACTGTATGATATCTTATGTCCTCTCTCTCTCTCTCTATAAATATATATATATATATATACACATATGGCTGCGAGTCAAAATGTAAAGCCCCGATCCATACCTTGAACCCACAGGCCGATCAATACTCCCGATCCATACCAAACCACAGGTGATCCAGACCGATCCATACGTCTGGATCACCGGGGGCCTATCCATACCCGAATTCTGACGCAACCCCTATATATATATTATTCATTTATCTATTTATATTCTATATATATACATATATATATCATGCATTTAATCAAATGCATGTCATTAGACTACGTGTAGATATAACGGCACCAGTGTTCAGGTTCACGTTGCAGCCGCGTATCCTGTCCAACGGTTCGGATCTGGAGCATTCTCTACCTGAAACCAGAGCCCCCCCCTAGGCAGATTGTTGTCTCTCGTTGCTGTGCCGTGGGCCCATAATCCCCAGCGTTGATGTTGATGATGATGATGATGGTGATGATGATGATGTTGATGATGATGGTGATGATGATGATGATGTTGTTGTTGATGATGATGATGATGAACATGATAACGCACACCACATCGCAATTCATGTATACTATACACATCTACAAGTAGAGCCCAGATAAGCAGGGCAGCTCCCAAGTGGCAGGAAGCTTATAGAAGTAAGAGCCTGTGGGAACACAGCGCATGATATACCTTGGCCTAATCAGTTGTGAAGCACGAGGTCGCAGATGGTGCTCAACCAGTTGTCAGCATGAGTTTCCACATCAGCTGACCAGTCAGCTAATGGTTGGCCAGGCAAGGCGACCTGGGTATGATCATGAACCCTGCGACGCAGAGATTGGGTCATGCAGATAGACATTGGAACGTCAGCAGCAGCTGGACGCTGCGCCGAGAGGTCAATGTCAGTATCATTTGAAATATTTGGACCTCGTTTGAACCTCTATCACCCAAAGCCAGTCATTCATTGCTGCAATCCCTGTCCCCCTTCTTGTGTCCTGCCCTTGCCTGTGTGCCTTCTCGGCATGTTTGCTTGCCTGCTTGCTGGTTTGCCTACTTGTTTGCTTGCTTGCTGACCATTATTTTGGCTCATGGTGTCCCAATAGGAAATGCCTCTTTCGAAGCACGCGCTTGCTTCTTTGATGTCTTCTTAAAAACACGGTGTCCGTTGCAAAAAGACAAAACGCAATGACTTTGCCATGACTTAGTCGCGGCGCGGTGTCCCATGGGGAAGTGTTGCGCAGGACCCTTCTGCTATGATTTTCGTTTCCAGCTGTACTGGTTACCCTAGGGTAAACTAATTAACATAGATGTGGGTTTAACCCATGAACTGAACGCAATCATTTTCCCAACGGGTTCCCCATGGTTCTTCCACATGTTCTTTTTAGTTAACCCTGGGGTAACTAGGGAACTACGCCACTGGTGGCCTGGCAGTTTTTGTTCTTCACCATGTTTTAGCCAGTGTAATTCAGGGTATTTCTTGTCTTGTTGAAAAATGTTCTCGGCGGAAACTATTTTGTTCATCCATCATCGCTGGCTCGTCTTCAAGATCTTAGAGTTCTTTCAGGAACTTTCCTGGAGGAAGGTTGTCTAAGCTTCTTCGCCAGCAACACTGATAGCAACGGTTCACCAAACGCGGGTTTACTTTGGAAGTCTCATTGCTTTTTTGTTTTCTTTTTATTTGGTTGGGCTGCCCCGTCTTCAAGGATGTCCAGTCGGCGTCCAAGCATTGAGGGCCTGCCTTTTTTGGGAGTTGGGCAATGCTTGGATCAAAGATGTTTTTACAATATTGACGAAATTGATGGGATACCTGATAGCAAGAAATGCCAAATGACTTTGCTGCTGTCTGCCACGCTCTTGCACCGTCAGCACAGAATGCACATTTGCGTCTCTTGTGCACGCATTGCAGTAGCTTTGATCTTTGAATGTCACGCCAGCTTTCGACCATCCACGTCATGTGTAGCGTAGCATCCACGTCATGTGCAAGCGTAGCAACAATTCTCTGCTAACATATATATATATATATACTGTTACCGTAGCATGACGTGTGTGTCCAAGTCCTAAAGATAATGAAGGAATGTAGCATGACGTATGGACGCAAGTCTTTTGAACGTTTTTGCCCCACCCCACCCCACCCCACCCCCCAGGCATATGACGCAACAAGAAACGCATTTGGAACCAGGCCGCAGACAGCGCTGGCAACTACTAACTACCCTAGTTAGGATACTAGTTTGACATACCATTTGTTAAAAGATCCGGCCTTTCAGCTCCACATCCGTAGGATCTCCTGCGCTTCTTGCAAGACGCAACGCGAAGTGCACCGCTCGGCGCGGTGTTTTGGCCCGATCTGTGGCCGAAGCCCAGGACGAAGAGGGGCCTGGTGCGACGACCGGAGAGTCTTGTGTACTCAGTGGGTGTAGAGTTGGATGATCAAGGACAAAGTGTGGCTAGAATAGGACTGAAAATGGAAATATTATGATTATAGGTGATTATGGAAACTGGTGGTTTCATGATGAAAATGTGTGATTTAATGGGAAAATCATGAGATTATATCCTCTGACAAGTTAACTATATACAATTTGCTGTGGAAGCATGGCCCATTGAAAAAGAGGATTTACCTATTCAAAATGGTGGTTTTCAATCAACAGCTATGTTAAATTACCAGAGTGTATTTTTTGCCAGTCACAAGCCAATATAATCTGGTTGGTGGTTTGGAACATGTTTTATTTCCTCATATATTGGGAATAATCATCCCAACTGACTTTCATAATTTTCAGAGGGGGTTGAAACCACCAACCAGTAATAGCGTCTATTTTCCAATATTCTTGGTTATAATGCGGCAAACCCAATGCCAAAAACCATGAAAAAGTACCCAAACAGACTCGGGCTCACAATGAACATCCCATCATCTCATTACAAGGGTGTTACCAATAATAGAAACCAACTGTTTTTACCATATTATTTGCATATTTTTGAACATAGGAGTACTTCCACAATGGTAGACATACATGGGTAAGGTCAATGAAAAAGGTTATGCATGCATTGGTTAAGTTTAGGTTTTTTCCCTTCCATACTGGGTTCCACCAATTTTTATATGTGCGTAGTAAAGGAATTCCAATGTTCACCTACCAATTGTTATATTGGGCACTTCTCAGATATGAGAAGATCTTCAAGAATTGAACCAATCTGCTTGGTGATGTTTTTGGTGGTAGCATGACGGTTTTCATAAGGGGCCCGGATAAAAAAAAGTGCGTGTGCAAATGTGACCCATACCCATGTGTAGGTATAAACTTAACTGGCAGAATAGGGTATAATTTGGTATAATTATGTTTGTGCATGTTTGTGCCATCTTGTGGTCTTCTTCCAAAAAACTACAATCCCACAGCTAAGAAAATCGTCAGGGTTTGTTTCCCGGAAATGATCTTTTCTCATGGTGGACCTCCCATAGTTTTTGGTATGTTTACCAGGGGGTATCCTCATCAATATAATTATTAGTGTCCCATTATATCACCATCTTACTTTAATTCATAGAGGGTATGCCAAATTACAAGATGTTTCAACAGGTTGATACAACTAAGTAAGCATCGAGCCAAGGATAGTTGTGGTTTACACTTCCCTGGGGTTACAAACCAGTAAAGACAGTAAAACGTGAAGTTGTTGTTTTTTTTTTTAAGAAGCAGAAACGGCTTGAATGCAGATGTGAGGCGATGGACTTGAAGAAACCAAGACTGCTAGGTCCAAGTTTGCGCAAACGTTACACTCGGACAACGCAATGAAAGGCTTCCGTCATGTACACACGCCAATGTGAATAATTATCTATGTTTTTGTTCTTTCCATACATATTGTGTACTTAAGAAACGTAAATCTACTGTACATGGTTTTGTATTTGCCTCCAACGTAAGACATGATTGCTGGCCAACGTGAATGCCAAGTGCCTTATGCCAACTAATGGGACCTGAGTAGCTACAACCCCATGTATATCTTCTTGGAGGTCCATTCCAGCATGGGTGATGACTATTCTAGATGCCACTTTGTATGCATGCATGCATACATACATACATGCATGTGCAACCATGCATACATACATACATACATACATGCATGCATGCATACATGCATACATGCATACATGCATGTGGAACCATACATGCATACATACATACATGCATGTGCAACCCTGCATACATACATACATACATACATACATACATGCATGTGCAACCATGCATACATACATACATACATACATACATGCATACATGCACACATGCATACATGCATACATGCATACATGCATACATACATACATACATGCATGTGCAACCATGCATACATACATGCATACATACATGCATACATGCATACATGCATACATGCATACATACATACATCCATGTGCAACTGTGCATACATACATACATACATACATGCATACATGCATACATACATGCATGTGCATTCATACATAAACACATACATGCATACATTCATACATGCATACATGCATACATGCATACTTGCATACATGCATGTGCATACATGTATACATGCATACATGCATACATGTATACATGCATACATACATACATGCATGCATGCATCCATGCATACATACATACATGCATACATGCATACATACATGCATACATGCATGTGCATACATGCATACATACATGCATACATGCATACATTCATACATGCATAGATGCATACATACATACATACATACATACATGCATACATACATACAGCATACATACATACATGCATACATACATACGTACATGCATACATGCATACATACATACATACATGCACACATGCATACATACATACATGCATACATGCATACATACATACATACATGCATACATACATGCATGCATACATGCATACATGCATACATACATGCATACATACATACATACATCCATGCATGCATACATACATACATACATCCATACATCCATACATACATACATCCATACATCCATACATCCATACATGCATACATGCATAGATGCATAGATGCATAGATGCATAGATGCATAGATGCATACATGCATACATGCATACATGTATACATGCATACATGCATACATACATACATCCATGTGCAACTGTGCATACATGCATACATACATGCATACATGCATACATACATACATGCATAGATGCATACATACATACATACATACATGCATGCATACATACATACAGCATACATGCATACATGCATACATGCATACATACATACATACATACATGCATACACGCATACATACATACATACATGCATACATACATACATGCATACATGCATACATACATACACACATGCATACATGCATACATACATACATGCATACATGCAAATATACATACATACATGCATGTGCATTCATACATAAACAGATACATGCATACATGCCTACATGTATACATGCATGTGCATATGCATGCATACATGTATACATGCATACATCCATGCATACATGCATACATGCATGCATGCATACATACATCCATGCATCCATACATACATACATGCATGCATGCATACAGACATCCATGCATACATACATACATGCATACATACATACATGCATACATGCATACATACATACATACATGCATGTGCATACATACATACATGCATACATGCATGTGCATGCATGCATGCATACATACATACATACATACATGCATACACACATACATACATACATGCATGCATACATACATACATGCATACATGCATACATACATACATGCATACATCCATACATACATACGTGCATGTGCATACATTCATACATACATGCATGTGCATACATGTATACATGCATAAATGCATACATGCATACATGTATACATGCATACATGCATACATACATATATACATGCATGTGCATACATACATACATACATACATACATGGATACATGCATACATGTATACATGCATACATGCATACATGCATGCATACATACATTCATTCATACATCCATCCATACATACATACATACATCCATACATCCATACATCCATACATGCATAGATGCATAGATGCATAGGTGCATAGATGCATAGATGCATAGATGCATACATGCATACATGCATACATGTATACATGCATACATGCATACATGCATGTGCATGCATGCAAGCATGCATGCATACATGCATACATACATACATCCATGCATGCATACATACATACATTCATGCATACATCCATACATACATACATCCATACATCCATACATCCATAGATGCACAGATGCATAGATGCATACATGCATACATGCATACATGCATTCATGCATACATGGATACGTGGATACTTGCATACATGCATACATGCATACATGCATACATGCATACATGCATACATGCATACATGCATACATACATACATACATACATACATACATACATACATACATTGATACATTGATACATTGTTAAATACATACATCATAGTTACAAGGTTACAACGTTGGGGGCCCATTATACGTTTAAACATGTTGGATTTTAACTAACAATAACGCGGATTCAACGAACAACAGTCAGGGTTCATACTGTCAATTTACGGTGGCTAAGTTGGTTAACAACCAGGCTAGATGCGGTTGAAAAGGTAAATATAACTGTAGTTAGATGGGTGCACTTGAGCCAACTTGGGCCTTGTTCTTAGCAGAGTTGGGCACCAAAGTCGGTTGCTGTGAGCACTCCCTAATGGCCTCCCTCAAACATGACCAATGTGCTGGGGTAGACATGTTCTTCGTTTCAAAATCGTGTTTGTCTTCTTGGTGTGTATCGTGAAAATAAGAGTTTTTCCCCACCTGCCAGGTGAGGGTCTCTAGATTTATCAGAGTTACTTGCTCCTTCTCCTTCTCCTTCTCCTCCTTCTCCTTCTCCTTCCTCCTCCCGGACTTCAACTGCGAGCTCCACATCTCAGTGGGCACTGCCGAACCTCAACTGTAGCTCGCAGTGGGCACTGCCGAATCTCAACTGCGAGGTCGGGAGGCTGTGGAGTGGCCACTCCACCCGTGACATCACAAGCTAAGGAGGCTGTGGAGTGGCCCTGGACAGGCTGTGGACTGGCCCTGGACCGGAACACATGCCAGAGAGAATGCCAAACAGAATGCCAAATAGAATGGCAGATAGACCGTCAAAATAGATGCCAGATAGAATGAATGTCAGAAAAAATGCCAGATAGAATGCCAGAAAGCATGTCAGATAGGATGTCAGAGTATATACCAGAAGGAATGTCAGAACATATGTGAGATAGAATGCCAGAAAAAACTATCAGAAGATATGCCAGATAGAATGCCAGAAAGCATGTCAGATAGGATGTCAGAGTAAATATATACCAGAAAGGATGTCAGAACATATGTGAGATAGAATGCCAGAAAAAACGGTCAGAAGATATGTCAGATAGAATGCCAGAAAGAATGTGAGAAGATATGCCAGATAGAATGCCAGACACATTGAAAACGTTCACAAAGAATTGCGATGCGTACGTTTAGTGCTGCCAGGGTAGTACAGTTTCATTGACAGTATTGACAGTATATATGTTAGAATAGATGCCTTAAAAGGCCATGGTGGGGATCACTCGAAGGAAAGTAATGTTTGCTCAGCTCTTTTGATCTCTTTTGTCTTCACAATGAGAATCAAGGTAATCATCATGATCATCACGATCATGTTTGTGCTTACGATGAGATGAGTCTAATGATTTTCATGTTCATCATCATATTGAGCAGCAGGATCAGCAATCATTGTCATCATTTGCGCCATCCTCCTCCTCCTCGTCCTCCTCCTCCTCTCCGCATCATCCTCATCACCACCATCGTCGTCATCATGATGATGAGCAGCAGCACCAACTGCTCTGCGGCAGCAGCAGAAGGAACAAATTGTCGTGATAGTTGTGCTTCATTTAATATGTCCGCCATTGCTTGCAGGCCTTGCACCGAACCCTTTTACATGCACGTTCTCGTCGCGCAGCTTGCACTGAAACAGACTTGGTTCCATGTCCTCTTACAACACTTTAAAAAAATCCCACAAAAGAAACTTCTTAATCATGAATCCCGCATAGGCATCGCAACTAGCAGTAGCAGGAAAAACCTACGGACATTTGCCAACTTCCTGGTCCCAGATAGCTGTAGTTAACCTGAGCTAGGATAGCTAGGCTCCTTTGGTTCCATACATTCCGGGGCTCAACTTCAGGGCCAGCTTGTCAACTTGGTGAGGCCTTTTGCTTGTTTCATCATGCACGCGCGCGCCCTCAAGAAAGAAGTTGCAGCTGAAGGAGCAAAGTAATAATCATTATTTTTGCTTTCTATAAGAATAATAAGACTATAAGAATAAACAGAAGAATAATCAATGATGATGATGGTGATGATGATGATGATGGTGATAATGATGATGGTGATGACAAGGAAGAACAAATTAATAATGACGAACGTTGCGAACATGATGACGACTGCGACAAGAACGACAGCCATGATGCAATGCACGCCAAACAAAGTAAGTAATGATGGGCGCTGAAGATGCGGATGGTGATGTTGGTGGTGATGAATTATGGGTGGTCGCATGGGTGCTGCAGGAGGAATTGGCGCGCAGAGGCGGCAGAGGCTGTAGCAACAGCATCCCAGGACCATGATTCGACCATGGGGTCGGTTGAAAACAGACACTTGCACATCTTTCTATACTTAGGTCATTGTGTGCAGTCATTGCGGGTGTCATGCCGCTCCCCCCGCACAGATCAGGAATCGGGACAGCTCCTGGTGAACAAATCCATGGATCAGGCCAAGCCTAAACAAAACACCTTCAGAGCCGAATGGTTAACCTCTTTATCTAAGGGGTTCCGAAAATTTGTGGCAATCCAAAAATGATTCAAACATTGCCGATTGCCGAACGGCATTAACAATAATAATAGTTTCGTGGGCACGAATTTTGGGAAGCACCCATGTGACTTTGGTTGTTGCCGAATCCCGCCGAATGGGTGATGGCACTTCCAGCTCTGGCAGGGCACGACCTGTTTTCAAGCAAATGTCAACTTTGGCGCGTTGATCAAATGCAGAAAACAATGGCAGACTTCATCAGCTGATTGTGCATGGAAATTTCCTTGTGTTTTTCCTGACGCAAGAAAAATGGTGCTGTGATAGGTGCGTAAGGCACTTTTGCTCAGCACACTCTTCGCAGTTCGCTGGGATTTGTTCCTGGAGGCGCCGGCCATGGGCCATACCGCCTGGCATCTCGCTTAGAAGGGACCCCTTTTCACACGGAGTTCTGATCTCTCAATCCCAGTTTCAACTGCAGTACCCCAATATGATGATTCAGGGCTCGCCTCGAAATCCAACTGCATCATGCCAGGTCATATGTTGTTGAGACTGTATTCCACTAAGTTACCATCTATGGTTGATTGAACTGGCCCGTTTGTGGGCCAACCCAAAAATATTCCTTGTATTCAATTCCGTGAAGTTGCTTCCGGAGAGTTTTCAGGGATCCACTAATCTTTTGTTCCCAAGAAACGTTTTTGATCGTTTTTGTTTTGCTTGTGGAAGAACGGACAAAATGCTTGTTAGGTATTCACATGAAAGGAAAGAAAAAATAAACACGCTTCGTTGGAAACCAGCCGCGTGGTTGCCACTTTCCAGACCCCCCAACATTTGGCAAAAGGCTGGTGGAAGATTGGTGAAACCTGGTGAAAACATGAGTGAGAACGCAAGCGACAACCTGATGAAAATTTGATGACACCCTGATTGAAAACCTGGTGACAACCAAGTGATCATCTAAAGCGTCGAGAAAAATGAAAACAAATTCCACTGTTTATGGTGAGCCCACAATGAATTTTGAAGGCGTGATGGATATCCGGTGAAGTTCGGTGAAGTTTTTTGATTTCAGGCATTGGCTGGAACTTGGTCCACCTTTTCTTCAAGGGGCAGGGCAAAGGCATGGATAAAGCGGAAGCGGATGCGGAGGAGGACGCGCCGGCCGAAGCTCTTCCCAAACGCCGCGGCATTGAGGCCCTCCTCATTCAGAGCGGTTGGCAGGCACTGTCTCTGATGCCCTTGGAATCGTGCCGCCTGAGCTGGGAGTTGGGGGTGGAGCTGTACTGCGTATAGATTGGGAGGCGCCCGGGCGGTCGCGTTTCTCGTGATTGGCATGACTTAAGCACAGATCCGACTCCTTCTCATGTCATGTCTCACTGCATACGCGCCCCCGTTTCAACAAAATTGCTTGGTTAATGTCCCATCCCCAGTGAAGCGTTCTACAGTCGTCGCTTTTTGCTTTATCGCCATCAGGACAAGGCCAAGAAGCCGCTACGTCTGAGGGGAGACGATGGAAACCGTCTTGGCTTGCGAGCCCTGGCCGGCAAAGAGTCCGGCCAACTCTACTATGCCTCTGTGCCCTTGTGTAGTGCGTCGGCCAGGGCCCATGAAAAACAAGCAGGACGTCAGGCTGACGTCAGGGTTCCATCCCTGGATTAGATTTCACATTTTCTGGTTGCATCGATTGGGTAACCATGATTTCCGTATATATGTTTTCTTCCATCTCTGCATTGGCTTCCCCTCTGGTACCCAGGAGGGATGGCCCCTTTGCGACAGGACGCGTACTCACGCGTGCCGCTGCTGCTCACACCGAGCAAAATGCTGGAGGTCCCCACCAGCATCGAAGTCGCGCTCACTGAGGCCCGTCCTGCTAATTCAGTTTGCTTCCGGGGTTTATGTAAATTCTTCCATCTAGAATTTCATCTGGCATTCCCTTGCTTATTGTCTTCAAAATCCGCGAACTTAAAGAAACCCAGCATTTTTCCGTCAAATAGCGACCGGGCGAATCTTTTTCAAGTTGAAAAGTCAGCATACCCTTGACCTCGGCCTGTTTGACAAAGAGGCTATCCTTTTTGCCGCCCGACAATTCCGTTGCATTCTCGCCCTTACTGATGGGCGCCGCGCATTATGTATATCGCGCATGCACCTGCTGCCAGGCAAGGGCAGGGCATGCTCTTCGTTGATCCGCTCACGCGAGCGCGGCATCCGCCTCCGGAGATTTTTGCTGCAAGGCTTTCTGGCAGCCTACAGCAGAGGATGATAATGTCGCTCCCGGCCTCGACATCACTCAGGACTTCCATACCCAGATCCCTGCATGCACCTTGACTAAACCTCGTGAAGTTGGGGAAAACCTGTTGAAATTCTCACACCTTTAAGGTGAAACCGCAATATTTTTGGAAGAACCGTTTTGCTCTTGTGGGTATGCTTGAAACCGTTCGTAGCAATCTCGAACCAAGATGGTTTGGTCAACTTATCTCAAAAAACTGCTTTGTCCTTCGTAGTTCAGCAACTTAAGGCCAGTTTAAGGCCAGTTCTTAATTCCCAAAAATGATATATATATAATATATTTATATATATATATGTTTTGGTGTTTTCATGAGTTGGCCACCTGAGCAGTTTTCAAAACCCTTGTTGATTGACTTGCATATGGCATTGTATAAGCATACCATTTGGTTATCATCATTTACTACGGGAACTCCTATCCTATGAACGAACCAGTATGATGGAATGACGGGGGAGGCTGAACACTGCTGAATTTATATAGCTGATTGTTATATCCCGCTTTATCCCATGATACTCCAAGGAAATCTCTATGATGTTGTCAGTTGTTTTCTACAAACTATTAAGTCTATGCTGTTGAATCTATGCGTATGTATTTCTATATACACAAAACAATATGTATATAATTGTTTATATATAAATATTTATGACCGAGTATATCCGCATAATATAGTATTTTTTGTATCTCGGGTTTTAATACCCATCATTGTTTTCATTTTTCAAATTTCACGTCAAACACATTATACCAAACGATTTTGAAATATTAACCTCATATGTCTCAGAAGACACCCGTGTATTAACAATATGTACCAATATATTAACATGTAGTATAACATATTTATTTTTTTTTGAAAAAACTAGCTTGTATTTTTAGCGTACATTGGATCTATACAAAACAAGTGTGCATATATATATATATGTATTATTGTGTGGGTTTAGATACAAATCTGAAAACACTAACTAAGTAGATATGTATATACACAGACGATATGGATGACTTTGTCCTCACCTGATTGAATAATTTCACAAATAAATGTACGAATATTTATCTATCCCAAGGTCACCATTTGAGTTGGTTAACCCTCAGCAGAAAGCGTCATGGCCACCCGGGATTTCTGCACGTAGGTGATCTACACCACTGACCAGGGTGACTTGATGTGCGGTTTCGGGGACAAGGACCGGTTTCGGACAGCCGGGGGAACTCACGGGGATATATACATATTGGATCAGATGGGTCAATATGCAGAGACATCAAGATATGTTCATACTTGGGCATAGAGGTTTAGATAAATAATGATAACTTGGGCATAGAGGTTTAGATAAATAATGATAAATGTAATTATATGTATGATATGATATATGGTATAACTTTGTAGACTTAACCATCAAATATAGGGGTATTATGGAATTAATATTATTATCCAGCATCTGGGGATACATATATACATAAATACATGTATACATGTATACATATCTACACATATACATATATAAATATTTACATATATACGTGTAAACATGTATATAATAAATATATACATATTTACACATATATATATACATATGCATATATACACATATTTACATATGTATTTATACATATCTACACATCTATACACATATATATATATTTATATTCATATACATACATATATATATATATACATATCTACACATATATACACATATATGTACATAAATACATTTATACATATTTACATATCTACACATATATACACATATATATACATAAATACATATATACATATATACATATATGCATATATACATATATATATTGATTTCATATCTACACATGTATACATATATATATATGTTTAAATATATATATATATATACATATACATACATATACATACATATCTTCACATATATACACATATACACACATATATACACACATATATACATATATATATATGTATGCATATCTACACATATCTACACACATATATATATATATACATGTACATATATATATATATGTATTTACATATCTACACATACATAAATCTATATATACATATCTACACATTTATATATATACATATATGTATACATAAATACATATATATACGTATATACACATACATATATATATATATATACATTTTCACACACATATACATATATATATACATATATATATACACATATATATATACATATACATTTATATATACATATATATATTTCATATCTACACATGTATACATATATGTATATATGTTTAAATATATATATATATATACACATATAAACACATATATACATATATACATATATACATATATACATATATACATATTTACATATATATATAGACATATTTACATATATATATACAAATATAAATATTTACATATTTACATATACATGTTTACATATATACATATGTACATATTTACATTTGTATACATGTACACACATATTTATATATATATACATATGTTGTTTTATTTATAGTATTTAAAAAAAAAAGAAAAAACAACAATAAATTATGAATATTCAACGGGGAAACTGAGGATAAACCATCAATATATTTTCAGACATGCCCATAAACATATACTTACTTCATCTTACTTCATCTTGATTGTTTGTTTTGTTGTGTATGCACATTTATGATACATACACGTTGTCGTGATGTCATGCGAACTTGAGGTTTGGGAATTTCGAAACTGTTTGAACCTGTCTTCAGGTATCCATCTTGGGGGTGCAGCTCCGATGATACTTGGGTACACTTATATTTATATATATACATATATACATATGTACATATACACATATGTACATATTTACATATATATACATATATATGTATATATATATATATATATGTATATATATACATATATATATATATGTATATATATATATGTATATATATATGTATACATCACCATAGTTACAGGGGTTATATTCCATTGTTTGGAGGTCAAGACTCCATGCTTATAGCATTTGTTTCCAGCCCAATTCTGCCCCTTTTTTGTCCTTGTGAGGTAGTGCATGCCATGACGCAGGACGTGTATCAAGCAGCTTTTGAAGAACTAGGTGTTCCGTTTCGCATGATGGCAGCTCGCCGAATAGAATAGATTCTGTTGTTGGGGGGACGTGCAAGTTGACCCTTGAGGGCGCAATATGTTCTGAATAAGTTCCACTGACCTCATCACAGCGTCACTGGAATGTTGGTTAGAAAGGGATACCTATCTCAAAATGTTTATTTCAGGGTGGTGAATTGTTTGTTTTGCCCAGGTATTTTGATTGTTTTGCTGCAGTGTGCTTGAAGTTTGCGGCTGTGGACGCAGATGAGGGCCTTACCCACCGGCGCGGTGTAGGTATGACATTTGGAAGTTTCTTCTGTTTGAATTGGTTGACATTTTGCGCAGATCCATTTCTAGGAGACAAGTTGCAGTTGGACCATGCAGTTCCACTCCTTCCGTTGTTTCTGGAAGGTGAGGTGTGTTGGGTATGTCAAAGCAGACAGTTCCTCACCTTCTTCCAGCATATATATATATATGTACATATCATTGGAATATTTATATATGATCGGAATATCCTTTATTTATATATGACTGGAATATACCTATTATATATATATATATATATTAGTTCATTAATTCCTATTTGTATTAACTGGAATATATTTACATTATACTGTACTGGTTGGTGGTTTGGAACATGATTTCTTTTTACCATTGGGAATGTCATCATCCCAAGTGATTTATATATTTTTCAGAGGGGTAGGCTCAACCACCAACCATATATTCATGGGATACCCTCCAGTAAACTAACATAACTATGGAAAATCACCATTTCTAATGGGAACATCAACTATTTCTATGGCCATTTTCAATAGCTATATTAAATTACCAGAGGGTAATAGTGATTTTTCATGTTTTTTTTTCATGATTAGATCGACATTTCTTGTGATTCAATGGGAAATTACCTGGGGATGTCCAACACCAAGGCGCCTCGCCCAGCGTTGCTGGTTCACCAGCAACGCTACGCAGGTCTGCTGCAGCATCTTGGCGCTCCTGATACCTGATTTTTTGCGGGCGAGTTCGGGTCCTGAAAAACACCACTTAAAAAGATGGGATTTAGTCAGTAAAATGGTATTTAGTTAAGATGGTCATATCATTGATTTGATCTGATTTAATTTCTGCAACCTAAGTTTTTTTTTGTTTAATGGTGATTTTACAATGAATTTGCTAGTGAAATTGTATTTCACGAGCAAAATTTGGGGCTATAATGGAGATACAATCGGTATGCAATACATAATAGATAGATAGATATATATATATATATATATGTGGATATGGGATATGTGTGAACATAATGGACGAGTATGGAGATAGTGATACAAGCAACAATTGCGGTGGTACATTGGGGATATATCCGATACAACAAAGAAATAATGAATATGAATGTTTTGAGGTGGTGCCCTAATCCTTAACTGACTAAGTTTGCCTCGCTCTATACTTTAAGTTGGGTTCATGGTAGACATATCTACGGTTAATGGATGCTATAATCAATTTTCTCACCAGGGGGCACCGTGTTGTGGGTGCCTCAAACTGGGATACACCATCAAATGGTCATTTGAATAGGGATAATGATCATTAACCAGTGGATGATTGCATTTTTCGCTCAATGCCGAATTCTCGCCCACAGTAGCGTTGAAGAGGGGGGAATATCAGTTGCATAGTTGTAATTCTCTGGGCAAATATTGGGAACTTATCGTATCAGTATGAACAGTTTGAACAATTACATTTCTTGATATGCATACTATGGACGACCGAAGGAGATGGCGAATGATCATGGCACAGATGCCATTATTTGAACGACATCAACAAACAATGTCGAAATTCGTTCAACACATATCCTGATTGTGGCTGATCAAATGGTAGACTTATAGACCATCTAGCGTGGAAGGATCATGTATATAATTAACTCAAGCCGGGGCTCCCTAAATAGCTATTGTAACCTGGTGAACCTGGGTTTACGGGGCCAATTTTTGGGGCATCCCAGGTTGAGTCGGTCAGATTTTTCCGGACCATGGCTGGATTCAAATGCCGAATTTAGATTGTCCATTAGCACAGATGATTTGGGTTTGCCTGAAAATATCGGATCCAATCCAATCCAATGATTGATCATCATACTTTCTCTATTAATATGGTTATTTAGAGTTATTTTGGTGTATACCTAATTTTCAGACAAACCCATTTCCTTAGGACAATGCTGTGATTCCTCATTGCCATGTTTGGAAGAACCTTTCAATATCTTTCGATGAGCTTTCCCATCAAGTTGCCATTTACAGATGGTCTACCCATTAAATGGCTATGTTTAATGGGTAGGTTAATTTTTGATGGTCTACCCATCAAATGCCATTTAAATAGGTGATTATTTTTTTTATGGCTATGTTGAACTGCCAGAGGTTTAAAAAAGGCATGTCCGTCGGCGACGTTGAGATTTGATCTGTAAAATGGGAATTTTGGTTTCGTTTTGTAAGCCATGTGTTTTTCTCCAAAACTGGTCGGTCATTTAATTTTTGTATCCCATCAAATATCACTATTATCCGATCAAATATACCATTTGTAGTGACAATATCCGATACATACCCCTTTCTAGCCTCATGATCTTGCAGTTTTAGATGGTTCAATCACAAGTCTTTGATGGTGACATCCCCATTTATGGAGGATGAAGTTCCGCAGCAACGGTGGTAGCAATGAATTCTCAACATAGCGAGGCTGGACGACCAAAACCAGTCCTTCTTTGCACATGTGCCACTGGCCACCAGCGGACGTGGGGGTCAAATGCCCGCGGCCTTTGTGTGTACTGCTGTGCTGACAAATATGGAACAATATTTATATATTTACGCAATTTACATATACGTATATATATATATAGCATGCATGCATGCATGCATGCATACATGCATGCATACATTCATACATACATTCATACATACCTACCTACCTACCTACCTACCTACATATATATATATATATATATATATATCCAGGCATAGCTCATACATATATATATACATACATATATATATATGTATATATAAATATATATTTACAGGCATATGTATGTATGTATGTATGTATGTATGTATGTATGTATGTAAAGTATGTATGTAATGTATGTATGTATGTATGTATGTATGTATGTATGTATGTATGTATGTCTGTGTATGTATGTATGTATGTATGTATGTATGTATGTATGTATGTAAAGTATGTATGTAATGTATGTATGTATGCATGCATGCATGCATGCATGTATGTATGCATGCATGCATGCAAGTATGTATGTGTGTGTGTATGTATGTATGTATGTATGTATGTATGCATGCATGTATGTATGTATGTATGTATGTATGTATGTATGTAATGTATGTATGTATGTATGTATGGATGTATGGATGTATGGATGTATGGATGTGTGTATGTGTGTATGTGTGTATGTGTGTATGTGTGTATGTCTGTATGTATGTATGTATGTATGTAATATATGTAATGTATGTATGTATGTATGTATGTATGTATGCATGTATGCATGTATGCATGTATGTATGTATGTATGTATGTATGTAAAGTATGTATGTAATGTATGTATGTATGTATGTATGTATGTATGTATGTATGTATGTATGTATGTATGTATGTATGTATGTATGTATGTATGTATGTATTAATGTAATGTATGTATGTATGTATGTATGTATGTATGTATGTATGTATGTATGTATGTATGTATGTATGTATGTATGTATGTATGTATGTATGTATGTATTACTGTAATGTTACCTGTAGTACATGTCTGTCCTGCATGTAATGTATGTAAATGTCTGTAGGGATGTCCCGTATGTACATGTAGTATGTACTGTATTTATGTTCTGTATGTCTGTGTGTGTCTTTCTGTATGTCTGTTGTCTTTATGTCTGTCTGTCTGTCTGTTCTTTCTTTATGTCTGTCTGTCTGTAACCACATATCTGTAGTTATGTAGCATGCATGCATGGAATTGTAATGTATGTATGTATGTATGTATGTATGTATGTAAATGTATGTATATCTGTAATGTATGTATGTAATGTATGTATGTATGTATGTATGTATGTATGTATGTATGTATGTATGTATGTATGTATGTATGTATGTATGTATGTATGTATGTATGTATGTATGTATGTAATGTATGCATGCATGTATGTATGTATGTAATGTAAAGTAATGTAATTTAATGTAATGTAATGTAATGTAATTTATTGTAATGTAATGTAATATATGTATGTATGTAATGTAATAATGTAATGTAACCTAATGTAATGTAATGTAATGTATGTATGTATGCATATATATATATTGCATTGTGTTTTACTTAGATCTACACACGTGTTGATTATACGCGTATATTGTCTAAACATGTGTTTTATTTACAGATACACTATTGACTGATGTACATATCACTAAAACATATTAAGACATTATCTCATGTAGTGAACGGTTCACCAATAGACTTGGGATGCTGAATTGGTAGCGGTAACCTGGACCTCGAAAAATCAGCCGTAGGTATTGGATGTTTCCATCAACAAAACGAAATGTGCTCAGCATGGGACACCTTGAAACTCTGGAAAGTGCTATAGGCTATAGATATTTACCACTTTTTCAGGATTTTTTTTTACGTGATTTTACCAAATTCTGTCGTTTTTGGGTGTTGTTAACGCTTGCTATACATGTATGAATCATGTTTGCATGTGTATATATATATATTCATTAATAGGTTGCAAGCCCCAAAAGAGAAGTGACTTTAGTAGGACGTTACGAATGTGTCGTTTCCGGGGGCTTGCTATAACCAAAAGTTTTTCGATCTTCGCCAGTTCTACAAGGCGTCAACTGGATTATCACAAATCAGCAACAAAAAACCAATTTAAACCCCCTCTTCGTTGGATAAATCACCATTTTCCTATGGTTTTCCTATGGTTTCCCAGGGGTCTCACCTTGTGTCACCAAGAGTCAGAACTCCTCAAGACTCGGCGTCTGTTTCCTAAGGTCTGCCGCCAAGGGAGAAATGTGGGACCTACTGGAGGCGAGTCGAGAACCGATGTTTTGATGGGGTACTTGAAATGTTCAATAAAAAACGCATATATGATATATATGGTATAGACTGGCTAAATGTGATTAGTCAAGTACTGACTGGTTGATGGCCAAATCCATGGGATTGTCACCCAGTTAGAGTCAATGAATCCCATGGTTCCATCATGGGGATTGCCCCAACCTGGCCATCTGCGGAAGGGAAAGCAATGGATTTGAGGGGCACGAATTACCCTCTGGTAAACTGACATAGCGAACTGGACAATCACCATGTTCAATGGGTAAATCAACTATAAATGGCCATTTTCAATAGCTACGTTAGTTTACCAGAGGGTACTTTCAGACAAAGCCATTGTCATGGGGATGGGTCAAAACGTCTGAAATCACCTTTTTTTGGGGGGAAGAAGCATCCATCAACCAGCTATGGCACCATTGGTATCATTGGGGCACCAGGCTTTTGACCCATGATTGAACCCTGTGGACCCAGGAAGTATGGCTGGATCCAAAGGGAAAGTGTAATTCAACAGAGTATATTTTGATACGTATATATGAGCCCGGTCCCCGCACCCCCCACACCCCCCCCCCCCTCCCCCCCCAATGGTATCCCCCCCCACTCCTAACCCCCCCCACCCCCCCAAAACCTAGTATTTGCATGTTATTTGCACATATACATACACATATACACATATATACTCCCCTTTCCACCCCTCCAACCTCGCATCTCTACGTTCTTTGCAGCACTTGAGAGCCACGACCTCGTCAACGGACCTTGTCTACCTGTATATTTCTATCATAACATTTTTTTCGAACCGCCTATAGCGTGCAAAGCTTACCTATGGATTACGCAAAGATACGCGAAGCTTACCTTTTTTTGCAACATATTTGCTACCTATGGATTACGCAAAGCTTACCTATGCAAACCTAGACATATGTACAGTAGAAAAACAAT